CCTGAAAAAATCAGCTTGTTACCAAAAATTTCCAGGTTTAAGCCTATTTTGACCTAATGCTCTTGGCCTAGTAGCTGGAAGTTCAGGTTCTCCATAAGTCGTATGACATCTTGACTTGAGGCATGTCGTAGTAGAAACGAGAGCTTTACACTTGTTACATAAAACTTTTTCCTTCCTGGCGTAATGAAGTGCTCGATTTAGAGCTGTAGGATTCAAACGAAGATTGTCGAAACGTGATTGCCATTGAAAACAATACATGTAGCTCGCTTTTTGCTTCACACACTGTAGCACATCTATGAAGTAAAGGATACTTATCTGAAAACAGATCGTGGTAGGTCTCCTTGTAATCACAAACAAAATCATGAATTAGGGGTAGCTGGAAATTCAGGTTCTCCATAAGTCGTATGACATCTTGACTTGAGGCATGTCGTAGTAGAAACGAGAGCGTTACACTTGTTACATAAAACTTTTTCCTTCCTGGCGTAATGAAGTGCTCGATTAGAGCTGTAGAGTTCAAACGAAGATTGTCGAAACGTGATTTCCATTGAAAACAATACATGTAGCTCGCTTTTTGCTTCACACACTGTAGCACATCTATGAAGTAAAGGATACTTATCTGAAAACAGATCGTGGTAGGTCTCCTTGTAATCACAAACAAAATCATGAATTAGGGGTAGCTGGAAATTCAGGTTCTCCATAAGTCGTATGACATCTTTACTTGAGGCATGTCGTAGTAGAAACGAGAGCTTTACACTTGTTACATAAAACTTTTTCCTTCCTGGCGTAATGAAGTGCTCGATTAGAGCTGTAGAGTTCAAACGAAGATTGTCGAAACGTGATTTCCATTGAAAACAATACATGTTGTAGCTCTCTTTTTGCTTCACACACTGTAGCACATACTTGTTACATAAAACTTTTTCCTTCCTGGCGTAATGAAGTGCTCGATTTAGAGCTGTAGGATTCAAACGAAGATTGTCGAAACGTGACTCAATATCCCTTCTCCTCCGCTTCCATTCGGGAGCACTTGCCTCTCCATAGGCCGTATGACATCTTGACTAGAGGCATGTGGGAGCCAAATCGAGAGCATTGTCAGATGACACTTGTTGCATACAACTTTTTCCTTCCTGACATATTGATATGCTCCTATTTTGTAATGATTTAGAACTGTAGAACTCATACGAAGATTGTCGAAACTTGACTCAATATCCCCTCTCCTCAGCTTCCATACACGCATACTCACACGCACACACACACATACACACACACACACATACTACGCCTTGAATGGACAGACATACATCGACAAGATCTACACACCGTGGCATACGAATACAGAATGGACTGACACATAGTATTGCATATTGAACCACACTACGTATTTATTTTTCTCTGTGAATGTTGCTGTTACACCTCTTCAGAAAAAAACCCAATGTCAACTGTGTACACGCAGGTATGGTCTTTGTTGTCTTGATAGGGGTATGTGGTTATGAATGAAAACAGCCTCTGTGGCCATTTGTGAATATAACACATAAACAACAAACAAATAACGATTAAACTTTGAACAATATGTCTGTTCATTTATAAAGCATAATGAATACGTACATACTATGCTTTTTTTACCTCAAAGAAACAGGCATAGTATCCATAGATGGATATTGGCTGGCGGCTCATTAACATACAGATACAAAAAACATAAACAGTATCACTATGATCCATGGAGTAACAATACTGCTTTGTAAGTTTGTGAAGAAATCGGAACCATAACGGCATTGCATCGTTTCAAATTAGGGCATTATCTACTTCTATTTGATCTCAGTCTTATAATAGTAATAGTAATAATAATAATAATAATAATAATGATAATAATAATAATAATAATAATAATAATAATAATAATAATAATAATAATAGTAATACAAATAAAAAATAATACTAATACAAATAATAATGCTAATACTAATAGGTTCCTTTTATCTCGCATTTCAAGACAGGGTAAATTCACACTGCGCTTTACATAAAACAAACTTCTTTAAACATTTCAAAATTATGTCTTCATGCATCAATCAACATACTTTAAATGAATACAAAACAAAGTGCATCTTAAATAAAACAAAAATAAATAAATAATTAACAATACAGAAAAGATGTAGCTGCTGCAAGCTGAACAACAGACTAATGTATACCAGTCAGTCCTGATAATAGTCATATAGTGGGAGCATGAAGTTGAACAATTCATGATTATACATAATTATATATGTTTGTCTGTCACGAATTATTATGTATACTGTTGTGTCACATTCATTTTCTATTCTGTTTTAGAATTGGCTTTCACCGTGTGAATGCGGCTAACAATAAACACAATTACAATAATGATGAGGATAATTATTATCATCATCATAATTATTATTATTATTAATTAGGTGGTCTGTCGATGACAGATCACCTATTGATTTCGTTAGAATTTTCTTTCTTTATTTCTTTCTTTATTTCTTTATTCTTTATTTTTATTTCTTCCGTACACTTTTTTGTGTACACGTTTACTCGAAATCGACATGGTCAATTTCCTTTGTATTTCTGTCAGTCATCAAGCCCTATGATTTCAAGTCAAATCAACTTTTTCAAGGTCACTAGGTCATTGTGACGTCATCCAGGCGCCATTTTGTAAAAATCAGGTCATTATCGTATCTCAATAATGAGTCATAAAAAATGAACCATATTTGGTATACATCAACTTCAGGTCAAAGGTCAACTAAAAATGTTAACAAATTTCGCGCGCGCACCTCGACGCGCACGTACGCGCGCATCAAAATTTTATAATGCTCCGATTCGTTTAAAATTAATTTTGCATACGTTTCAGGCCATTTTAAGTATTTTTAAAATTTGCGCGCGCGTATCCGCGCGTCCTGGCATTTTGCAACATAGAATCGCCAAATTTTTTCTGTTATCATATTTATTACATTTTTCCAAGCATTTTGATACCTTGTTTACCCTTTTCCGACCAGTAATAACGCAATTAGCGGCTGTCAAAGTTGAACGCACGCGCCGACCTGCGCTATCTGTATCCACCATACATAGGCAAAAACATGCCTATACAAAATTCATTTTAACTCTTCAGAATAGATAGATACCCCCCAATTTCTTTCATATTTAAATAGATTATGAGTTGGAGATATGATTTCATGTCTCATTTGACCCTCAATTAACTCATGACGTCATCATAATGGCCTCCGAACTCTAAATTTCAATTTGCATATTATGACGTCAGCAGATTTTTAGATAATTGATTGTATCTCTGTAAATATTGATTAATTTTCTTTCAAATTTTGATATGTTCTACCTGAGAATATTCTCTACAAATCTAGTCGCCACGATATTTCATTTTGACAATGGTATCATGGCGTATTTTTGCGATTAAAGGAGGCATGTCAATTTTTCACATTTTGCGTGTATTCTCTATAGGACATGACTTTTTCTCAAAACTGGATTCTACATTCTCGTCTTTTGCGAGCAATATCTCCGTCGTTTTATCTTTGTTTACGCTGAGCTTTGAGTATGTTGTAGCTGAGACAATAAGCTATCACAAGTTTGCCCTTTATTTTTCGATCAGATGCCGGGATCATGCTCATATTTCACTTACAAAGTGGGATTTGAGAATTCGATTTTCCGTTTACGTGTAATCTCTATGGGAAGTGTTTTGGTATATCGATAACGCACTTGACTTCCGACCTCGAGGTCCCTGGTTCGAGTCCGGGCGTCTCCAACAATTTGTTCTCTTCACTTTATTTTCTTTTTGACCTTTCACTGTACCATCTCCTTTGAATATTAAAACACGTACAGTCGCAAAAAATGTAATAAACAACCATATTTACTTTATTATTACCCTATTATCACTTGATCCATTACTTTTTGCGTGCAATCCTTATGGGAGATGACTTTTTCTCAAATCTGGATTCTACATTCTTGTCTTTTGCGAGCAATATCGCCGTTATTTCGGCTTGATATTTGTTGATTTTTGAGTATGTTGTAGCTGTGACTATATACTATCTAAATGTTCTCTCATTTTTGTCAGTCTGATGTCATCATGGTCTGTTGATGATAATCATCAACATCATCATGATCATCATCATCATCATCATCGTCATCACCATTACTATCAAGATCATCATCATCAAGATCATCATCATCATGATCATCATCATGATCATCATTGTTTACATGTCTATATAACTTCTCCCTTTCTCAATATAGTAAATATTATAATCTATCATAAGACTTGAAGACAGACCACCTTAATCGTCCTCGTGACGATTTAAATTCTAGTATTATAATTGTTATCATTATTATTATTACTATTATTATCATCATTATGACTTATTAAGTAAGCAAATATCATTCCCCAAAACCTGGGGGGGGGGGGATGATTGTACATGCCATCCCCCCCCCCCACCTTGTGAGGTGGGGGGATGCATCCCCCTCATCCCCCCCCCCTCCGTTGTCTACGCCCCTGAATATCGACATTATGAAGGATTCACGGTCATAAATTACGGCGCTTGAGGGCGCGTGACATCGTTCTGATACCGCAGACCGAAATAAACACATTTTCGGGGCAATGTGGCAAGGAAAATCGGTAACAATTTCTTTTCTTTGACGTGGCCTTCGGTAGATACGGGTTGAGAATCAAATTGTGTGCATAATAACGATTGTGCATTTGAACATTTTCTCATCTTTATCAGCCCGTCTCTTTTCGACTATTACCAACGATGGATCGAGGCAATAAAGAAGTTGACAGGTGAGTTTGCCCATCATCCTTTACGCTAGGTGGGACGATAAACTGAAGACGTATAAAGGTGTTTCTTAAACAATTGTGAATTAATAAACAACCGCACTGTTGATACACACAATACAATCCACCGTATTGATTAAAATAATGGACAAATGAAGAGATGGATAAATGAATAACATTACAAGCCAGATTACCTTCGCGCATGAAACTTTTGAATATGCAGGTTGGTAAGTTTTGTTTACATATTTGAGGATTGATGTTAATTGCAAAGAAATTAAATTGGTAGGTACGAGTATCTAATGACACCTGTTATAGAATGTTTTTTAAACAGTTATGACTAGGATGATAAAAAAATCGAGGAAACAACCATAATTCATGCAATATGACCCTAAAATCAAGTACTTATCTTAGTTTTCTATATTATCCATTATGCATTCAATTTCGATCATGATGATATCGTGAACTCTAACACGCCCTTCGTCAGTTCAATTTGTAAATTAAATACCTTTTCTTTCCTTGTGCATGCATGCTGATACTTTCCTCTCTTTGTGTAGGTCTGTATTATTATATAATAGGTCCATGTGATTACAAATTTTCATTTTCATAGTTGTAAATGTATAATTATCTCCTGACTACGGCTATGTTTACTCCCTTTTCAGGTTCTACTGCAGTCTTTTTACTTCCCCCCCCCCCCCCCCCTCTCTCTCTCTCCATATATCCTTCTCTCACTTGCCAGTTCTATCTACAACCCTAGAAACGTTTAATGGCAATATTTGAAAGCACAGATGTGAATGAAAAATGAACAGATTCGATCCTTACTCTGGTGTAAAAAATATACCCCCCCCCCCCCTCTAAAAAAAGAGGGATTAGGTGACTAATGTGTGGTACATAGAGGTCATGAGACGATTAAATGACTACTTTCGATTAAACTGTTTTTTTTTGTGTGTGTGGATAGGTCACGTCCCTATATGTGCCATAGTACCTACATGGCAAAGGAAAGACATCGAGGAGGCAAAAGATAAACTAAAAAATCTCGGGATCACTGACATCTATGACCTACCTTCCGTTGGTGGCAATCTCTCAGATGAGAAACGGTTGCTGAGGCTTGATCTCCTCCATGAATGCCTGAAGAAAGGTGACGAAGGGATATCTGCTGACTTAATACAGCTGTATTCTTTACCCAGTTTTGAGCGGTTACGGAACCAATGGACAAAGGATGTCACAGAAACACAGAAGAGGCACGGAGAAGACATAAGAGAAGAAGAAGTAGCAAAGAAGTTACTCCGAGGTAGAATTACAGACTTAGAGCAGGAACTCAACGATTCCCGTGCAAGTCGCGCAAGCATAGTCAGTGAAAAGGGAAGACTACAAGATACCATGAAGGTTGAACAAGAAAGACGTGAACATAGTGAAAGGGCAATGATGGAAAACGAGAAAAGAGCAACACAGATAATGGAGACGTATAAGCAGAGGGAGATGGAATTTGAAAAGAAACTACAATCAAAGGATCTGCGTATCGAAACAATGGCTGAAAATTTACAGGGGACAGAAGAGAAGGCAAGACGTCAGGTTGACCGACTTAAGCGTGAGACCTGGAAGCTGAGAACCAAAATTCAACTAGAAAGTGAGATACGATCAGCAGAGCAGAAGAAGAAAGCAGAGACACATCAATGGAGTTTCATTCGCTGGGTGGGTTCTGGAAAACAAGCTCAGAGTGGTAAGACTTTATTTTCCAATCTCAATTTCATTTAAAAGTTTTTTTTTTAAAATGTATACAATATATTAATCCAATCCAATTTGTTGATTTTTTTTAAAATATGTATAATGTGAAGCTTATCAAATCCAATATGGTCTTTATAGCTCTCTACCCCATTTTTGCTATCTTTTTAAAGTTTGAAATTACTTAGAATACCGATACAGTGAACGATAGAGAACATTCCAAATTTGTAACTTAAATTCAATTTCTTCCTCCTCATTCACACTGACTTCATTCCTTCATGACAGGCACATCATCAACTGAGGCTAATTCAACCGGAGGACTGGGAAGGAGTGATACAATGCAAGCAGGGTGAGATGAAATATCTTTATTCTTTACATGGCAAGTTGACAATAAGCGCATTATTTCTCTTATAGTGACAACACTACTACGGAATATACTTTGGTGTTTAAAATGAGTGGTGTTTAGATTGTCAATAACAGTGCTAAAAGACAGTACGGCAGCACTTATGTTCTATGAATCCAAAATCATGTTTAGAAATGTCGTGACCACCTGTGATTATGTTAAAGCAGAAGTGAATAAAAGATTGAAACTCGATATTAAACAAAGAAATGACAATCTTAGCTACATTCCAGTCTACAATGATTTGAGTTGAAAGTGAAATAGTTTAATGAATTTAAATAAAATTTGTTAATTCGAGCATGTCGAGCATGGTCTCTTAATGGGATCGCTGTATATTTGTGTCATTCAACTGCTATAGGTTGACTTTAACAATGAAAACGTTCTGTAATGAAACAAGTAGAAGATGATACTCTTGATTGGAGTTATAATTTAACATAATCCTCTATAGTCTCATTACGGGAAGAACTCATTTTGACTTTTTTTTCTTCACCTAAGTAAATATTATTTTGTATTAATTTACCTACGTTCTTTGACCGCCCCCATATTTGTCTTTGTTACCATTCTCGGGACCATTCTAGAGAGGAGCCCCCAGATGATGAGTTTGCAGGCATATTACAGCAGATAGCTGACGACCTTTACGATGAAGCCAAGATCGACAGCCTTGGTGGTCAGCTGGGAATCCTACATGGTGATATACAGAGAGCGCTCATGACCAATGTGAAGTTCAACCGTGTTACCAGTGATGGAACTCGTCATATGCTGAAACAATGGAGAGAAGGTGTGTCCAGGGAAGATGAACGGATTGAGCTCAGGAAGGCACTGCAAGCTGCCAAGTTGGTCAACCTTGCAGACCTGTATCTCAGCGAAGGTAACGTATATTTTTATTAAGAACAATTGTAGTTTCGTAATCGAGGACCCCATTCAACACTTCAGCAACATGCTGTTCTATTCGGTATACAATACGGCCCATGTGTTTGAAGTCAGATTGACGGTATTTTCTGAAGCAGATTCGATTTCCACATTATTTTTACACTGTTGATATAAATACTAAGGTGACGTAATGCAGAGAGGAGATACTTAAAAAGAGCTTAGGTACAACTTTCATTTAGCATTTTCCTCACGAATAAAAAACCAAACAGATACTTCAAGTTCAAGTTCAAGTTCTCATCTACTACTTGGTGAACATAAAAATAAAAGAAATTTGAAATTCACTGTGATAAGTTCTACACAATCATAACAAATCAATTCGATGTGTTTTGAGAAATAAACCAATTACCTGTTTTCTTTCTTACTGTCGGTTAGGTGTAGTAGAAGAACAGATCGATGCTGAATATGATAAAGAAGGCGTCAATGATCAACAGCTCTCTACTAGAGATAAGGCCTCTCTAGAAGAGGACCAGACCAAAGGACAGACCGACACCCAGGTACTTCAGGACGCTACATCAAGCAATGACCACACTCCTCGAGATGGGCATACGGGAAACATGGCTTCCAAAACCCAGGAGGACTTGACAGATAGAAGTAGGAGTCAACATCCCGACAAATCACCGGAGAGCAGTAGACAGAATTTGGATGCATCTGAAGTGACTTCTGAAGACGTGTTCTCTGCAGAAGTTCACGCTGGTGATTATATGACCGATGTAAGTAGCATTCAACCTGCTGACCAATCGTCCATACATGAAATGCAAGACTTACCTGAAGATATGTCTGAGATAGCCCCTCTGGTATCTTTTGGTGGAAAACCCGACGAGGAATCCACCATCTTGGAAGAAGAAGATCTGATTTCTCAACTCGTTCTTATTGATCCATTCCCGGAGAAAATAATGCTCCTTTTCCTCCTAAAGATAATAATGGATGTTCCCCAGAGAGTACTCAGTTTATAAATCACCAGAGAATCTTCATCAAGCCAAGTGTACTAACACAAATCTCCTTTGTTCATATTATATTATAAAACAACATCCAAGGAACTAACACTTCAACAGGCTCTACTTCAAGTTACTTCTTCTTTTCTCGTGCTTTTTCCATTATATTTGTCGTTTCATTGCATAGTTTTTGTGATATAATTATTCTTGTATTATGTTTTGCATGAGAAATAAAATCATTTGAATTATTATTATTATAGATATAACCTTCATTATCACTACCCGAACCATATTGTGTATATTGCAATGTTAAAACTTGTATCCAAACACTGCATACATAGTTTCAACTATGCTTTTTTTAATAATATGACAAGAATTGCCTGCAGAGCGTGATTTTTCTCAAAGAGTAGATTTTGATTTCTCTTTTGGTAAGTTACATGATATAGAACTTCTATTAGTGTTAGCAATTATAACAATAGACACTTATTACAGCCGGAGCAAAGTTTATGTATTTTTAAACTTTAATCTCTCCAAAAAATATTAGTTATGGTCAATCAATTTATGATGTTCGAATTTCACATTTCATTTTATTGCTTAAAAAATAATTCGAAGCAGAAGAATCGAACTATTTCAATTAAACAAGTTGCAAAACTCATTTTTATTTTTGTACCTACCGCAAGTTTGAGTAGATAGAAGTTAATTAATATATGAAACAATAACGAAAAACATGAATGAATAATGAATATTAAAGTGATGAACAAACAGATGTACAAAATATAAACTTTGAATGTATAATACCCAACAAACTGTACATAAGTGTCATGAATTGAATTGTCATTGCTTCACATTCAAAAAGGTTATTTCATTTATTTATTTATTTATTTCTTTCATTAAAATGCTTTAATTCATTAAAAAAAACAATCACAGCCCGAGAGCTGAATTGCATTTTTTTTTATTTATTTTTTTTACAAAGTATACATCAGTGACAAAGTAAAATTACACGTAATACATATGCGTATAAACATTATGGTAGTGACATTGCAATTCATTTTGTACATATAATATATAAATGCCTCTACGACACCTGCTCCGGCTACAATTACTCCGCGGCAAATCAGTACATTATTCAAACTCCCAATCCCAACCCCGGTCAGGAAACCTTCACCGCAACCAACGCCAAGACCAAGCACAAACCCAGCCCCAAAACAAACAACAAATTCAACCCCAACCCCACATCCCTGATGAAATAAAGCCTGGAGCAACCACCGCCGGAGCATTTGTCGTGTCGCCATCATTATGGCATATTACTTGGTAAATATTCAGAAATCTGAAATCTGAATATTATAACTATATCGGTAATATTGGTAATGTTGAACTTATACAATATATGAATAAAAATAAATAAATTTGTTTGAATTTCAAATGAAATACATGTTGCGATTGTAAATTGCATAGCCATATGACTAGTGTATTTTCTTTAATAACAGAAACAGAGACAATAAGAGAAACCAATACAAATACTACTCAGCTTTTATATAGCGCGAATCACGATTAAGTCTCTAAGCGCTTCCAAACTTAGAGGTTATTACCCCTGTTTTAGCTGTGCTGCCATCACAGATCTTTAGTATTTCAAGGTACCCATTTACATCACCTGGGTTGAGTGTGACAAATATAGATCAATGTCTTGCCAAAGGACATTAGTGCCGCGGCGGGACTCGAACCCCCAACTTGTGATCAACAGTTCGGCGACCTAACCACTCGACCACGACCCTAAATCTGGGAATTATATAATCAAATAGATGATACAATGAATTAAACAAATTATACTGTGTAGGTTAAATGCAGATTTTGTTTTGTCTTTGGACCAATTTAGTATACGATTTCTCGGTCACTTTCGTAAGTTGGCCACACAAATTCATTTTATGTTCATTCAATTTCGCCGATTCTGTTACCGCAGCTGTTATTTTCGTTCAAATTCGTTTTTTTAGCATTTAATTTCCCAAAACGATCATTCAAAAACATTTCATTTTCATTCGAATTAAAACGTGTTTCTTTTTCGTAAAATGTTCATTCAATTTAAAGCGAGACGATTCGCGATTACGTAATAGCGTCTTCCGTGAATTCAAATTCGTTTCTTTGCATACAGTTTCACACGTTTTGCAGACAAATTAAACATATAAATCTTACCCAGTATGATCATATATAGAACCCCGCAAGCTTAGTTCCATGCTAAATCCATCTCAAATTGTATGATTTGGTAAGCAACAAACATATTATTTGTCCTCACTATGGGTGTACATGTATATGTATACCCACTAAATCATCACTATTTAGGAGCTGAACGATCATGTGTTAAGTAGATAAAACCTAGCCACATCAGTACAGAATTAGCATGTAACTAAGCAAGAGTGTCTTTTTATGAATATGCAATGATATAAGTGCATGCAAAGTGTATGTTTACAAACTACGGTTGTATTTATTGGAGTGGCGTACCGTAATGGTGGGGGAGGGGGTATCAATACTCCATACATTGATTTATTTTAAATGTTTTGTTTTGTTTTTGATAATTTATTCGATGTTCGTAATCTCTTTGAAGCCATTTATATTTGTGTAAATTATATTTAGTCTGTATTGAACATGTTAAGAACAATCAATGAGTATCAGTTCAATCACAATCATAATCACATCAAAATCTGAATCACCATCACACTGAATCACAATCACGATCGTGATCACAATCACAACTACCATCTCAGTCACAATCGTAATCACCATCTCAATTACAATCACGATCACGCTACACAATCAGTAATGAGTTTGATACATTGTTTTCTCAATGTGCGCACATCTCAATAACTCATGTCATGTGGACATAAACTAAAGAATACACGTATACAATCTGATATCTTGTTTTGGTTATATATATTTTAATGATCATAATTACATCATGCATGACATTATCATGTTCGTCTACGTAATATCACTTCCAAAAGACGACCGAGTACGATAAAGTCAGTGATGAGAACATCAGTAAGATGATGTCCAATCCTATATCTACAGTTGTTTAATCCTCTACATGTTGACGGGCAAGGCATCTAGGCATGTTATATAACTCATGTGTTTAATTTAAATGAGAAACATGTGCATATACCATGTATACCATAGGTGTGTAAAGATAGGCGAATATGAATGAAAACTTTGTTATTTAGAATGACCCAAAGTGAAATTGAATGGTACGGACGTCCGATTTGCCATTGTTGACGAAAATGAATGCAAACTGCGCATTTGTAAGCGGTTGTTAAATTGAATGAAACAAGAGCTAAATCCATTGAACGAATAAGTAAATCAAATGAAAAAAGTGTTATTTTGAATGAAATTTACACGCCGGCAGCTTTATGTAACGAATTTGAATGAACTTTGTATCAAAACGAATGAAAAGCTTACGAAAGTGACCGAGAAATCCTATATTAAAAGGTAGGGTGGTCCATACAAATGATTTTCGCAAAAAAACATGGATCGCATAAAAACATGGTTAAATGCTTGTCATGGTAAAGGATCGATATATCAATAAAGAAGCAAATAAGATTTTGCACAATTAAATCCGATTCAGTTGCTCCTATGATTGGTATCATTCACATATCACATTTCAAATTATACATTTAAGGCTTTGGCAATTTGCAAGATTGTGAAAGCATCAGTATGAAATATAAGGGAGAAAGAGAGACAGAGAGAGAAAAAAAAGAGAAGAAAGAGAGAGAGAGAGAAGGGAGGAGAGGAGAGAAAGAGAGAGAGAGAGAAGAGAGGAGAGAAAAAGAGAGAGAGAGAGAGAGAGAAGAGAGGAGAGAGAGAGAGAAGAGAGGAGAGAGAGAGAGAGAGAGAGGGGGAGAAACAGAGGAAGTAAAGGGTAGGAAAGGAAATAGTGAGACTGAGAAAAGATGCTTGTTCAAATGAGGAGAGATGGGGGGGGGGGCATTGAGTGACAACAAAATTATTGTCTTGTTTGGAGCCAAAAGGGCATTTACCACTAAGTAATTTTTTCTTCTGGCTCTAAACGGGCAGTTCATATTTTAAAAGAGAGCTTTACATACGGTATATATGTACATAGAGAGAGAGAGAGAGAGAGAGAGGGGGAGGGGGGAAGAGTGTGACTGGTAGAAACAGATCGATGGAGAGAAAGAAAGATGTAGAGGGAAGGGGAGATGGACGGAAAAAGAGAGAGAGAGCGAGAGAGAGAGAGAGAGAGAGAGAGAGAGACATATATAGAGAGGGGGGGGGAGGGAGAGAGAGGGTTGTCGACGAGTTTAAATTCCGCATTTTCACGTTTTTATACTACTAATCATAATTTAAAAACAGGGCAAAGTGGGGGTAAGTTTGTTGCAGAACAATGGTTTTCCCCATTGTAGGTGGCCTGCAGGTGGCGCTCTTCATATTGACTGTTTTTCCAGAAAGAGTCACGTAGTGTCGCATCAGATAAATGAATGTTGGCCTACCCTCAAACATGTTCTCTCAATCTCGAGAAATAGGTTGATGACTCAGATGACCACTTCTCTGTTTAAAAAGATGTTTTTTAATAGATGAGATGTTGCTCTCAACAGCAATTAAAGAACAATCCATATTACAAATGTGCGATATCACGTATTTTGAAATACATTATTGAGCTCAAGGATTACACCAAATCATGCTGACTTCTGAATATTATGTGTGTGTATTGTGTGCGTACGTTTGCGTACTGAAAGGCCTGGAAATCATTTGCGAGCAAGCATAGCGAATGAACATGTAAACTTGAGATGAAAAACAATAGGGGGGGGGGTCGCGCGAACCCCCGAACCCCCGTAGTTTGTACGGGGTGCAAAATGTTTGTTCCACCTTTACGTATGCAGGTAAAAGATGAATGAAATAAATTGTAACGAGGCACTGTCTTAACAAAGATTTACGCATATACATGTAATTTCATTATATTACGAAAATGGTTTAGGTATTTTGTTTCCGTTTTGAATTTTGTGAAACATTGTGGAAGATATCCACTGGCAGAAATCATATTGTGCCTAAGCTTTGGGCAAGCTCTAATAAAAGTCAAATTAAATACAAACACACACACATTTCGCTCTCTTT